TGGAGTGCAATGGCGCGATCTCGGCTCACCGCAACCTCCGCCTCCTGGGTTCAGGCAATTCTCCTGCCTCAGCCTCCTGAGTAGCTGGGATTACAGGCACGCACCACCATGCCCAGCTAACATTGCATATCTCATTAGCATCTTAAATCTTCCCCCAAGAGTGTGGTTTTTATTATTAAAATGAGCAAAGCGTCAGCTTGAGGACAGGTCAAATCAAAATGCACATGCTCTCTAGAAGTAAAAGTCCCTACGGAAGACAGGTTCCAAATGACCCCAGTTACTCAACATCTTAAAAGTCGCTCCCACAAAGCTGGAACACTGTCTGTTCCTGAAGGATCAGGTCCCATTTGTGTCTCCGAGACACTGGCAAGTCAGGCCCGACTTGAGATGAGACCGATGATTTCAATTGTAAAATGCCTAAATCGTCAGCAGCTTCAGGTTGCATTTTGGAGCTTGTCCACTTTAATGGCTTGATGAAAATGCCTCACAAGACTCGTGCCTCGGAAATGGGGTTTTCTCCTTTACTTTTAGCAGATTTCGTGCAACTCTACACTTAACCTTCCTAATGCATCGACTTCCACATTCATGAAAAAACCGCCATTGAGAGTGACATTTCCAGGAAGTCACAGTCCTGGTCACTGCTCTACAGAGCTCTGAAGCTGTTCATAATCAGGCCAGGTGGAAGATTTCTCTCAAAAGCAGTTGAGCACGCGCTCTGGCTAGAGAAAAAAGAGGGTTGTGGCACAATGGAGAGTGTCTCGGATACCAGGGCAGTTTCCCCAACAGTTTAGGAAAGAAGCAGCGCCCTGGGCTGCAGAAGACACAATGCTCTGGAAAGAACCCTGGGTGCAGGTGAAAGAGAAAATCGAGCAGGACAGGACCAATCGGGTGAGGACAACCCGCCCGATTTGGGCAAAGGTAAGGTATCTTTGTAGGGTAATGCCCTCCTCAGTGCCCAGCCCAGACCTTCCCTTAACATCCACATCTGTACTCACTATCCTTGGCAAAGAGTCGGTATGGATTCAGAGCCCAGCAGTACTTTGTACATCAAGAAGTCAACACCGGTCTGCCCCTCCCTGCAGGGCTATGCACTCCAGATCCCGGGACATGCTGGGATTATAGTTCTAAAGCCTACCGACAAACAGGCTGAGAGCAGTTGAGGGACTAGAGCTCCCAGCATATGACTAGGTGGGATGCGGACCACTTTGCTCCTCTTTCCAGAGCTGCGCAAAGCCCTGGAGCCTGCTGCATGCTGGGATTGTAGTCCTGCAGCTGCTTGACCAAAGGGCTGGGAGTGTTTATAAGCATACATGTCCCAGCAAGCCTAGGGAGGTGCACACAGCCCCATTTCTTCACTTGTCCCTGAGACTGGTGCATGCTAGAATTGTAGTCCTGCAGCCCTGTGACCAAAGAGCTGGGAGTGTTTATGAGCATATATCTCCCAGAAAGCCTGTGGAAAGCCACACACAGTCCCGCCTCTTCCTCCAGTGACGCGCACTGTCACTGGCCCCGGTGTATACTGGGATTGTAGTCCTTCAGCCCTCTAACAAAAGGTCTGGTAGTCTTTCTAAAACTACACATCTCCCAGCAAGGAGAAGGAGACACTCACTGCCCTGCCGCTTCCTCGTGTAATGCGCACTGTTCCTGAGCCGAGTGCATGCTGGAATTGTACTCCTGCAGCCTGGTGATAAAAGGCTGGGAGTGTTTATGAGACTACATCTCCCAGCAAGCCAAGCGAGGTGCGCACAGCTCTGCCTCTTCCTCCAGTGAAGTGCACTCTCCCTGAGCTCGGTGCATGCTGGGATTTAGTACTGCAGTCCTGTGACCAAAGGGCTGGGACTGTGTAAGAAACTGCATCTCCCAGCAGGACCAGCGAGGTGCGCACAGCCTCGCCTCTTTTTCTAGTGACTAGAGAACTGTCCCTGAGCCCCATACGTGCTGGGATTACGGTGCTGCAGCTCTGTGATCAAAGGGGAAGTGAGAGGCCCTGAGACTACATCTCCCAGCAAGCCCAGCAAGGCTCACAAAGCCCTGCCTCTTTCCCCAGTGATTGGTGCACTGTCCCTGAGCGGGGTGAATGCTGGGATTGTAGTCCTGGAATCCTGTGACCAAAGAGCTGGGAGTGTTAATGAGACATCTTCCAAAAAGCATAGTGAGAAGTGCACAGCGCTTTCTCTTCCTCCAGTGACGTGCACTTTCCCTGACCCCAGTGTTAAAGTATTCCAGGCATATGACAAAAGGGCTGGGAGTGAATACACTTCCCAGCAAGCCCAAGGAGGTGTACTCAGCCCCGCCTCTTCCTCCATTGTCGTACATTGTCCCTGAGCTCGGTGTATGCTGGGATTGTGGTGCTGCAGCCCTGTGATCAAAGGGCTGGAAGTGGTTATGAGACTACATCTCCCAGCAGGCCAAGCGAGACATGCGCAGCCCCGACTCTTCTTCCAGTGACAGGGCATTGTGACATGGCATTGTCCCTGTGCCTGCTGCATGCTGGGACTGTAGTCCTGCAGTGCTGTGACCAAAGGGCTAGGAGTGTTTATGAAACTACATCTCACAGAAAGCCCAGCGAGCTGCACACAACCCTGTCTCTTCCTCCAGTGACCCACACTGTCCCTGAGCCCTGCGCACGCTGGGATTGTAGTCCTTCAGCCCTGTGACCAAAGGGCTGGGGGTTGTTTATGAGAATACATCTCCCAGCAATCCCAGTGAGTCGCCCGCAACCGCACCTCTTCTTTCAGTGACACGCCATGTCCCTGAGCCTGGTGCTGGCTGGGATTGTAGTCCTGAAGCCCTGTGACCAAAGGACTTGGAGTGTTTATGTGACTACATCTCCCAAAAAAACACAGCGAAAAGTGCACAGCCCCGCCTCTTCCTCCAGTGGGGGGGGGGGGGCTGTTTCTAAGCCTGGTGCATGCTGGAAATGTAGTCCTGTAGTCCTGTGAACAAAGGGCTGGGACTGTGTATGAGCATACATAACCCAGGAAGCCCCGCGAGGCACACACCGCCCCGCCTCTTCCTCCAATGACACGCACTGTCCTGTGCCCGTTGCATGCTGGGATTGTAGTCCTCCAGCCCTGTGACCAAAGGTCTGGGAGTGTTCTTGAGACTACAACTCCCGGAAAGCCTACTGAGGTGCTCATAACTTGTGTTTTCCTCCAGTTACCGGCACTGTCACTGAGCCCGGTGCACTCTGGGATTGTAGTCCATCAGCCCTTTAACAAAAGGGCTGAGAGTGTTTGAGAACCCATCTCCCAGCAAGCCCAGCGAGTCACAAACAACCCAGCCTCTTCCTCCAGTGACGCAAAACGTCCCTGAGCCGGGTGTGGCTGGGATTATAGCCCCACAGCCCCGTGACTACATCTCCCAAAAAACATAGCGAGGAGCGCACGGCCCTGCCTCTTCCTCCAGTGATGGGCACTATCCTTGAGCCAGGTGCATGCTGGGATTGTAGTCCTGCAGCCCTGTGACCAGAGCCGAGAGTGTTTATGTGAATACATATCCCAGCAAGCCCAGCACAACCCCGCCTCACTATTCTTGATCTTGGTACATAAGGGAAATGTAGCACTGCAGCCCTGTAATGAAAGGGCTAGGCGTCTTTATAAAACTACATCTCCTAGCAAGCGGAAGGAGGCACGCACAACCCTGCCTCGTCCTCCAGTCACACACACTATTCCTGAGCTGGGTGCACGGTGGGATTGTAGTCCAGCAGTCCTGTGACCAAAGGGCTTGGAGTGTTTATGAGACTGCATCTCTTAGCAAGCAAAGCGAGGCATGCAGAGCCCCGCCTTTTCCTCCAGTGATGCACACGGTACCTGAAGAAGTGTTCATGAGATTACATTTTCCAGTAAGCCCAGCAATTCACTCACAGCCCTACGTCATCCTCCAGCGATGTGTACTGTTCCTGATTCCAGTATATGCTGGGATTTTGTCGCTGCAGCCCTGTGACCAAATGGCTGGGAGTGTTTATAAGACTATATCTCCCAGCAAGCCCAAAAGGTGCTTATAGCCTCTCCTCTTTTCTTCCAGTGACGTGTGCTGTTAGCCGGTGCTTGGTGGAATCTTCCTGTAGCCCTGTGACGAAAGGGATGGGAGTGATTATAAGACTACATCTCCCAGCAAGCCTAATGACGTGCTCACAGCCTCCCGTCTTCCTCCAGTAATGCACATTGTCCTTGAGCCCGGTCCATGCTGGGATTGTAGCCCTGCAGCCCTCTGACCAAAGGACTGGGAGTGTATTCTTACAGATCCGTTCACTTGTCGTGAGAATGTTTTTCTTTACCCCATGAACATACTTACAATAGCTTTCTTCAAGTCTTATATACTGATTACAGCATCCTGGACATGTTGAGAATAGGTTCTGTTGTTTGCTTTTTATCTTGTGAATTGATTGCATTTTCATGCTTCTTCACACATCTCATGAATTTTTTAATTGTGTAATAGGAACTGCGGGGACTCTGAATTCTGTTGTATATCTTTGAAAATTGTTATTATTTTAAGAGGGAGTTAATTTGAATAGATTCAGACTTCAATTCTTACATCTGTTACAGTGACATAGCTGAAATCCTCATTTGGTTCTTCCAAACATTCATATTATATATGTATTATACATAGATGTGCATTTCTATATAGCAAAATATAATATTTTATTAAGCTTTATTATAATTATCTGTGAAATTCTTATTCAACAAACTACTTCATTATTACTGGAAGCCAGAACCTCAGTTTTGTTCACTTTTTGGATTTTATGTAAGTGAAATTATATAATATGCACACTTTTACATCTACTTTCTTTTATGCAACATTATATTTATATTTATGCTATTGCAGATAGTTATAGTTTGTTCATTTAAAAAATAATTTTTTATGTGGGCTCTTTCTGTGAAGAAGGTCAGTGGTAGCTTAATGGGGATAGCACTGAATCTATACATTACTTTGGGCAGTATGACCACTTTCACGATATTTATTCTTCCTATTCATGAGCATGGAATGTTTTTCCATTTGTTCGTGTCTTCTCTTATTTCCTTGAGCAGTGGTTTGTAGTTCTCCTTAAAGAGGTCATTCACATCCCTTGTTAGTTGTATTCCTAGGTATTTTATTCTCTTCATAGCACTTGTGAATGGGAGTTCACTCATATTTGGCTCTCTGTTATTGTTGTATAGAAATGCTTGTGATTTTTGCACATCGATTTTATATCCTGAAACTTCTGAAGTTGCTTATCAGCTTAAGGAGATTTGGGGCTGAGATAATGGGATTTTCTAAATATAAAATCATGTGATCTGCAAACAGAGACAATTTGACTTCCTCTCTTCTTATTTGAATACGCTTTATTTCTTTGTCTTGCCTGATTGCCCTGCCCAGAACTTCCAATACTATATGAATAGGAGTGGTGAGAGAGGACATCCTTGTCTTGTGCCAATTTTCAAAGGAAATGCTTTCAGCTTTTGCCCATTCAGTATGATATTGACCATGGGTTTGTCATAAATAGAGCTTATTATTTTGAGATATGTTCCGTGAATACCTAGTTTATTAAGAGTTTTTAGCATGAAGGCTGTTGAATCTTTTTGAAGGTCTTTTCTGCATCTATTGAGATAATCATGTGGTTTTTGTCATTGGTTCTGTTTATGTGATTGATTACATTTATTAATTTGCATATGTTGAACCAGGTTTGTATCCCAGAGATAAAGTAGACTTGATCGAGATGGATAAGCTTTTTGATTTGCTGCTGGATTTGGTGTGCCAGAATTTCATTGAGGATTTTTGCATTTTGTGTCTTCCTTAGCACAGCACCACTGATGAATAATTGTTTGAGAATTATGCATAAATTGGCCTTTATTATTTTAAATCTAGTAAATGTTGAAATAGAAACAAACATTTTTATCTACTTTCAAATTGAATAAGAGCATTGGCAACTTTCAGGAAAACATCACAGAAGAACACTCTGGAGCCTTACACGTCCCAGAAACCTAAGAAATCCTGATACCACCTGTAGAATTAACCGTATCAACACTTAATTTTTTTTGCCATACTATTTATATTTATGAAAAACATAATTTCATCGGACATTTATTTTGTTATGTGCCATGAAAAATGAATCAGTTTTGTGTTAAGAGCGTCACAGTTTTACACCTCAAGTATTAGTGATGCCATTCTCCACGTTGCTTTTATTGCTTACTAAATTATTGCTCTGGCCTGAATGTTTAGGTCCCCTTTCAAATTCATATGTGGAGAATATTAGGCATCTGGCCTTTGAGGGAGTGATTAAGCCAAGAGTGCTCCGTCTTCATA